CGCATTTGCAGATCTTGCAGGCGATCATGAGGGGGCGCGTGCTGTCACGACCAACATGAGGAACCTAAACACCTTGGAATTAGCACGAGGCGCCTTGCACTTCAAAGTTTATGCGGCTGCGGCCAGCGGAAAGGGAAAGCGTCAGGGTGGTTTTAGGCTTGCAAAAAAATTTCAACTCAAACTATCATATCGAATCTTGCGACAAATGCATGAAGTATTAAATATAAAAAAAAAAACTAATTGCACAGTTTAATTAGAAATCGCGAGACAAATGTTTTAAGATTAATTAGCCCATGATTAGCCATAAGTGCTACAGTAACTAACATGCGCTAATGATGAATTAATTAGGCTTAATAAATTCATCTCGCATCTTTTCCAGGCGAGCTATGTAATTAGTTTTTTTTATTAGTATCCAAAAATCTCTTTCGATATTCCCAAACATCCGATATAATATTAAAAATTTTCATTTCGCGAATTAAACACAGCCTTTATTTGCGGAGATCTGGAGTGGAGTGCTGAAATCCCGATGCGCCGTCAGTGCCTGTCGTGTAGTACTGCTCTCGGCAGCGTCGCACGTGAACCTTTTTCTGCAGATGGTACTCCCCGGCCGATGGGACGGATGCTGCCGAGTCACGACCTGTTCGTTCGATCTTATGTGTCTTGTAAGCCGGCTGAATAAGCCGGTGCTGCTGTTTTGTTGTATGACAAAAACACACCATACTGTGCCGTGTTTAGTTTCATCTTAATTTTCAAAAAGTTACTACAGCTATCACATCGAATATTCATGGTCCGTGCATGAAGTATTAAATGTAGACGAAAAGAAAAACTAATTACACAATTTTGTAGGAAATTGCGAGACGAATGTTTTGAAGCCTAATTAGTCTATGTTTGAACACTATTTATCAAATAAAAACGAACGTGCTACAGTAGCCCTAAAATCTAAATTCCTACCGCTAAACACTCACATGATACGTTCGAGCGAAGGGGTGTCAGACGATGATTCTCGCTCATCGATCGGGCGACGATGGTTCAATACGGCCCAAATCACAGAGCGTGAGTAAGATTTAAGGCCCGCAGTGCGTTTCGGTCTTACAGCCACAGCCTTCAGTCCTACTGCACTATGGGCTCGCACTAGAAGTTCTTCCCGTCAGTCAGGATGCGGACTACTAAATGCCATTGGGCCCTCTCTCTCTATTTCTCGGCTTCCGTCCCAACCCAGGAAAGCCCAACCCAACCCAATATTGATGCGTCGCTTACATCCTAAGCAACCGCCGTTGCCCATGCGTCTCCGCGCGCCGTAGCCTCCACGCGTCCCTGCACGTGTCCCGCAACCGCCCCTGAGGGCTGAGGCGCTGACGGCCTGACCCCACCCCAGCCGACTAGCCCCGTTCGGCCGTTCCCCTTCTTCCACTGCCCGTTGCCTCCGCAAGTGCAAAAGCAAAACCCCCCACGAAGCAAAGCAACCGCCAGACTTCGCCGTACTCCACCACCAGAGCATGCGCGTTGCCGCGACTCGACTCGCCGCCGCTCCCCCTCCGATCCGCTTCCTGCTCCTCCTGGTGCTCCTCGGTTCCGCGTCCCTCGCGATCGGAGCAGCCATGGCCGGCCACGTCCTCGGCGGCGTGAAGGACAACCCCGCCGCCGCCAACAGCGCCGAATCCGACGGGCTCGGCCGCTTCGCCGTCGACGAGCACAACAAGCGCGAGGTCAGTGGCCTCCCTCGCCTTCCGGGTTCCTCTCGTCCCCTTCGTGTGCTCGATTTGCTTGATTCGTGCCATGATTCGTGCCATGGGGATGTGGGGTCCTATCCTGATTTGGGGTTTTATTGATGTACTACTATCTATGTGCGTGGTTCCAGAACGCGCTGCTGGAGTTCGTGCGCGTGGTGGAGGCCAAGGAGCAGGTGGTGGCCGGCACGCTGCATCACCTCACGGTCGAGGCCATCGAGGCGGGGAACAAGAAGCTCTACGAGGCCAAGGTCTGGGTCAAGCCATGGCTCGACTTCAAGGAGCTCCAGGAATTCAGCCACAAAGAGGAGGCCACCACCTTCACCAACGCCGACCTCGGCGCCAAGAAAGGTTCGCGCTCCCGCTTATGAATTGATGAGACATTGCTACTACTGTTGATGACTCCTGTCCTCTAACTGTAACTGCATAGCGAGTACAAGGGCTGGGGCCTGTGCGGTCTGTGCAAAGTGTTTTGTAGAGATGCCTCAGTGCTGATTGTTCGACCTGGGCCATCATTGTGCTTTGGATGGAGGAAACAGATCCTCAGGAGTAGTAAGAGGGTAGGTGCCCATCTAGTTTGGAATGGCGAGTGGGATTGAATTATAGATCCCATTGGATTCTAAATAGAGTAAATATGACAATAGTGACTGGTGGAATCTTCATTATTTCAAATCAAAATTATTTCGATAAATTGTGGAAAGTTGTGATGGGGTAACCATTGTGAAACAAGAAGGGAAACAGCATTAGCATGATAGCATCCGATGTATCTTCTTAGAGTTTAGGTCAATAGCTGATTCACTTAAAAACTGATTGGCATAGGTCAGTCATCCTTGCTGAATGGGGAAACCATGATAAGTTTCCTTCAAGCACATAGCGGGTCTGAACTCTTGCTGGAGGGGTTTGAAGCCATATTCAGGAAGACCTAGGTTGCAATCAGATGTGTGCGTTCATAAGCACTACCAGTAGTTATGGGATTTGGGCCGAGTTTTAACTGTCTGAAGCCTCAAGGGTAACAGGGTTTAAGTCACATTGTGCAGAGGAGTTACGACTTGGAAGTTTGGGGTTTACAACTCTATCAGTTCAGTTACTTACACAAGATAACTTGATAGCTAGGCTAGGCAAGACAGCTTGGTCTGCTTGTACACATGGTTCTGGGAAATGAAATGGACTCCTCCCGCACTAAGTTTATAGCACTACAACTGAGTCAAACCACTGCCAAATGGTGAGCATTGATCCCACATACACTGCTTTGCCTAGTTGCATATAGGGACCATGGATGTTGATATATTTGATTACTTAGTTATTTCTAGTTTTATTTGGTGTTTAATTTTGATACTGGATGTACATTCAGTTGATCACTGGTCATGAAAGCTGATAAATCGCAAATGTGCCCCACCTTAACTTCAGCCCTAGTCACAGTGTTGATGTTCTGATGTTCATAGGATTTAAATTTTAATTATGAAGTGGTACTTGGCCTTTTGATCATGTTAAAGTTGCAGTCCTTTTGTTTCAGTATGTTGATTGTGGCATGCATGCTAGAACCTAGCCCATGACATACTAAAATGCTGGAGATTATGTTGCATATATATTTTTTAAAACTTCTATAATTGGCATTTAATTGGGGATACTGCAGGTGGACATGAGCCTGGTTGGCGTGAGGTTCCTGTAGAGGATCCTGTGGTCAAAGATGCTGCACACCATGCTGTGAAATCTATCCAAGAGAGGTCCAACTCCCTGTTTCCCTATGAACTTCTTGAGATCGTTTGTGCCAAGGCACAGGTTAGTTGCTGCAAATTGGTTCTTAAACTCGAGTCTTTTTCAAACCTTTCCAGTTATAGCTTAAAGTTTTGTTTGATGCCACTTCTATGATTAGGTTGCGGAGGACTTCGCAAAATTTGACATTCTGATGAAACTGAAGAGAGGCAGCAAGGAGGAGAAGATCAAAGCCGAGGTCCATAAGAGCCTGGAAGGGGCTTTTGTACTATACCAGCATCAGCCGGCGGAGCATGATGAGTCGAGCAGCCAGTGAACTGACGTAACTGAGAGCTGTAGTAATGTAGTTTGTGTTACATAAAATAAGGAGAAAACGTGGCCACTCCGGTTTTATCTGGATATCGTGTATGGTCGATGGTCGTTGCTGGTGGCTTGGCCTCCGAATGCAGCAGGCAGCCCGGTGCTGTTCCAACTCGTTGCAAGACAAGTGGTACCTGCTGTTGCTGTTGCCGTTATAATAGACTTTGGAACTTGTGAATTTCGGAAGCTAACTGTTCGTATTGTATTGTTTAATATGATGGATCGTATGTGGATATATATTATGCCACTACACTTTGCCTTTTGGTTGCTTGCGAGCAGTGTATGCCAAGTTAGCTTAAGCTGCCAATGTCAGTATCAGATACAATCTTCGAAGTATTCTCCCGCGTACTGGTGGTTTTCTAGTGTGTGATCATGCCAGCTCCAGGAACAAGACAATTACGTATTCACATATAGAATAGTAACAGTTCGCATGGTTCATCGGATTACAGACACACATGACAACAGGTATAGGAAAAAAAAACAACAACTGCATCCTGGTACAAGCACGATATATAATCAATCAGAGGCATTGGTTCGGCCGAATAGGCGGCAGCAGCATCCGACTACCTTATTACATGGTATTAGGAACTGTATAACAATCTCCAAATGAAAAAGGTAACCGCATAACAAACCAACAGAGATGCATGGCTGGTAATAAATAGTCCAGGTGCTAAATGACAATTTTTCTCAGGCGTATGGGTGCAGCGATTTGATGTCTTCGTCAACTTAATGGTCCTCAGTCGCATCCACCAAGTGCACCATTACCCATCAGCACCTGCGCCCGTGACAGAACAATAACAGTTCAGAGCAAAACCCTACAAGAATATTTAGGTAGTCGAATGGTAGTATGTCAAAGAACAATCTCACAAAAGAATCAGTTGCGGCAACTAGCATTTGGACTCCTAAAAAATCAAACATCAAGTGACGAGGATAAAAGATGTACTGAGCATACTAACAAAAGAAACCAACTAACAGCAAAAGCCTGAGGACATTATAGTTTTATATACTATACCCATACCTTTTTGTTGGTCTATGGCTAGTAAGATAAGTCAGCAATAGTAAGTATACGATTGTCGTCCAGTTTTTTGAGCAAAGAATATAGAGAAACAATCTAAGAGGCCACAGAAAGAAATGTATATATTGTCAACATACATCGGGTCGATTATGTCGACTGGATTATTTGGAGTTTCCCTGGACAGCTCAATCTTCTCTATAAACTCTTGGTCTGTTTGGATGTATCTTGGCCTCAGCTGTCATTCCCTGCACTAGGGAATCAAAAATAGTTTCACCGAAGAACTCAACCTCCATGAGTTTTGGGAGGTTTTCAATGCCAAAAATACCATTTGCAGGCTCTCTCTCAAAAGCCAGCGTGAGGCTCTCAAGATTAGGGGCACCTCCGTCAAATCTGAGCTCATCAAGGTTTGGTGCATTGTCTATAATCAGCTTCTTGAGACTGGGAAATAGTTTTTTTTTCTCAAAGCAGAGGTGTGTTCCCATGAATGATTCGTGGTAGAGTTTGAGAGATACAAGACTTGGAAGCTTCTCCAGTTGGCCCAGCAATTCCCCATCAAGAAAATTCTCTCGAAGGCATAGTTCAATTAAGTAGCTAAGGGATGAAATCCATAGAGGCAGGACACTTAGTCTTCCCCACAAGTACAATGTTTCAAGGAAGATGGGGGGTGATGTTAACTCCAGGAAGACTTCAAGTCCGATATCCCTGTTGCGCCAGTGGATGATAGACAGGTGCCGGATGGACTTCTGCAGCATGTTCAGCGAGGCAGCAAAAGGTTCTCATTTTTCTCCTCCATGCTCATGGTTTATAGCACAAAGCTTGGTCAATTGGGACAACACACCCACTTCCTGCATCATGCTCGTGGAGCTGGTTCCAATGTCTACATGGGCAATCTTTTGAATGCATTTCATGTTCTTCAAGCCATGCGGTATCCTAAGAGCTTTGTATGGTTCAAAAAGCTTGACTCAGCTCATCTTTGTGTAGTGCCTATACCAGCCACCAAGTAGACGTTTCAGATTTCCCAGCCAAGTGATGGATTCAGGTAAGTCCCTAATGTATGTCTCCCTTACATCCAGTGTTACCAGCTCCTTCAGTCTTCCAACTAGCTTGGGCAGCCCTACATTTGTTCTTCTAAGGCTTAGATACCTTAGCAGAGTCAGTTTACATATTTCCTTTAAATCTTCAGCAAGCCACTGACAACCTTCAAGGTCTAAAACCCTTAACAGTTTTAAGTGAGCAAAGGTGATGGGCATTGGTTTCTTGCTGCAGCGCAGAATTAACAGTGAACAGGTGTGAGAAAAGTTAATGTTCGGGTCATCTTCATCTTGCTCTTTATCATTGCCACTGCCATCTGCATGGATTATTGAAAGTCGCCTGATATTATTGTGCCCTGTTGTGCTGTATTGTCTACTCCCCATGAACAAAATGAAGTTCTCTTGGATAGACTTGGAGGTGATCACTTCCAGCATTATGTCATGAACCTTACAGCACCTGACCAAGCCAAGCCAGTGCTAGCAATGCGGGTTGGTGTAACAATGCTTCGACTCACGAATTCATCGAGACACTTTGCTGCAACCTCCTCTAGATTTGATTCGTGCATTCCACTGATGAAACCTTCAGCTGCCCATCGTCTAACCAGGGGTCCTCTCTTGATCTCGTAGTCTTCAGGGAATACACTAAGATACAAGAAGCAGGCCTTCAAATAGTAGGGCAAATCATGGTAGCCAAGAGAGAGTATCCTTCTCATTCCTCCTATAGTTGGATTTATTTCTAACCCTGAACCCAATCTATCACACAACTTTTCCCACTCTGATCTTGTCTTATTTTTCGTTCGAGCTAGCATTCCTCCAATGCAAACTATGGCTAGTGGCAAACCACTGTATTTTTTCAATATGCCGTCAGAGATTACCTCCAAATCTTGATATTGTGGAGGACATGTGTCCGACTTGAATACTCTCTTATAAAATAGCTTCTTAGATTCTTCAAAGGGTAGAGGCTCCATGCTGTAAACAATATCGTGGGGACCAGAGCAGCAACTTTCTGCAACGTTGGAATTACGAGTAGTAATTAATATTCTACTTTGTTTGTCATTTTCAGGAAAAGCCACCTTCAAGTGCGCCCAATCCTTTGGACTACACAAGTCATCCAGAACAATGAAGTACCTATGGATGAAAAATGATGCTTATCAAACAAGCAAACAAATAGCAAGTAAAACTGTAAAAGATTACTGAATGATTTGACTTCATCTAAAAAGATGACTGCAGCAATTTTCAAGTAGTATACCTCGGTTAAGTAGAGCAAACTAGAAAATCTAAGTGCACATCATACTAGTTAGTTTAAGTTTTTGTAAGGGTCCTCCTAGGGGGAAGGGGTGGCGGCTATGGTGCAGGGGGGTGGCGGCTTAGGGTTAGCGGCGTGGGAGAGGGGGACGGCGCAGGGAGAGGGAGGGCGGCGGCAAGGAGAGAGGAGAGGGATAGGGGAAGGAGCAATTGCTCTACTCTTGCTTAGATTAGATTGATTACATCCTCCCTATATTTATAGTCCCTATAGGACTTGTGTTCCAAGCAACTACGGGAGATATCCTTATAGATTGGATTCTCCTTTCCTAAACAAACCAAACTCTTAACATAGTAATTCTCCTAGTTTAATATCTAATCTCTTCCGGGTGAAGGAGGCAGCGAGGGCGTCGGCGCCCCTCCTCCTGGCGCGCGCGACCCCCCTGGGGTGCGCTGGAACCGGTTGAGACCGGCCAGCGCCCTCCTTTGGGCCTTGCTAGGCCCATTAGGGTTGGGGGCCTCTCATTAGACGTATGACAAATTTTCTACTCTAGATCAAGAAAACCTAGGTCCGAATTTTTAGAGGCCCAATTCACCACTCCCCTTTTAGGCCTCCAAACATTAGGATGCTCCTGGTCCTTTCATAGATATTTGGTGGAGCAAAGAAAGGAAGATTGGAAGTCTTTTATCTGCGAACCAAAATTATTCCCAACTTTTTCTATTTTTAAGTGGAGGTAGAACTAAGAGTGTATTTGGTTCATGGGGTGAGATTGGATGGGATCATCCCATTCAATTTTTTCATGTGTTTGGTTGACATATGAAAAAAAGGGCAGACCCAGTGCCGGAGGCTCCCACATGAGTGGGGTCTGGGGAAGGGATAAACCGAGACAAGCCTTTCCCCAACAAAATCTACGGAGAGGCTGCTTCGAACCCACGACCTGGTGACTCAGTGAGACAGCTCTCACCACTGCACCAGGCCTGTGGTTGACATATGAAAAGGGATGAAATTGCTCATAAGTGAGAGTATTCTTATAGATGTTGGATGAACTAATCCTAAACATTTTCTAGAATGCAGCCATCTTGGCGACTTGGGACGTGAGAATGTTAGTGAGCCCTATGTCTTAAAGTGAGATGGAGACATCGCATTAGGGATTGTGCCATCCTATGCCACCTCACTCTCCAATCAAACACTACCTAAGATAATAAACGTGTCCTTGAAACTTGTATTTCATGATATTACCAAAGGAACAGGAAGTACCTTTTATCCTCCAAATGTGTTATGCACCTTCCAATGAGTTGGGATATGTTCCAGGTTCCAGGTCTCAATTCCTTTGAGGGGGATCCTCGATGGTTTCTTCCTCAGAGCTGCTCAGATTTCCCACTCCCAATGGTATTTGTATGAGCTGCCTCAGTAAAGATTTTAGTAGTATGCGAAGATCATAATGCTGGGACACTGCTAGGAAAGCCCGAGTCTGGATTCCTTTCACTGCTGGGGTGTTATAAACGTTCATAGCAAGAGTTGTCTTGCCCAGGCCACCGGAACCAACAATGGGGACAACTCTGAGACAAGCCAAGTTACCATTGTCCAGGAGCTCGATGAACGAGTTGGTCTTCTCACTCACTCCCACAAGCCAGGATTCATCAATGTTGAGTGCAGGCAGCCAGCGATCTAGATCATCATAGTCGGGAGAAGAACGGCCAGCTGCATACGCATCGCTTGCACCTCCAAATGATGCTTCCACCTTGTACCTCAGCCTCCGCTCGCTCACCTTCAACGCACGGGCTTTGAGGTCTCGGATCTCGATGGCCAGGTTGTGCATAGCTCTCAACGTCTTCAGTGGCCGGATTATCTTGCGTAACCAGCCCGCAATGAGGTTGTGGTTGCAACATCGGTGGCTGTGGTGGTGCCAGAAGGTGTCAATGCAGTCCTCCGCATCATAAGCCACCTCCCTGACTTGTTTCATCCATGTTCTTGTCTACAAAACAAATTCAATTAGCCATTTACTTTTTAGCAGGCATTCCAGTGATAACTATTTAATAATAACTTGTTCTCATGTACCTAGATATGCAATTGCAAAGGGCTGGGGAAATATCGATCACAAACGCTAAGAATGATGTCATCACAATTCACATATAGCTAGCTGTCAGATTAACGCTCAAAATAAAAATGCTTTAAGCTAAGCTTGCGTCTGGTTCCTGGTTCCATATGCATAAAATGTTTGGTTCCACAACCAAGAAGAAACTGATCTAGAATGTAACATTTTGGTACCACATTCGCATAAACGTACAGACAGATTAATTAGGAGGAACAATAAGCAACAGTTGACAGAAAGCATGCACATCAAACGAGTTAGTGATCTGTTTCAGTCATATGGGATGAGGAGAGGCTCCTCCCCTGGCGGCTGCCCCCGGGCTCGCAGCCGCTAGCGCAGCGACATTAGGGCTCCATGGAATGTTCCAGTGAGATTCGGGGCGTCCCTGTTCCTCACAAAGGAGAGGACGAGTTCGTCCCCGATCGACGCCATTCTCGCCTTCCAGGCAGGGGCAGCCGCGGGGCGCGCGGAGGTGCGCCGCCCGGCGGGAGCGGGAGGGGCGTGTGGAGGCGCGCCGCTGGGCGGGAGCGGGCAGAGCATGAGGAGACGCGCCGGCGCTGCCGGTCGGTAGCGGCCTAGCGAGTGTAGGCAGGTAGCCGGGCGGAGGCGGCCGCGACGGGCGGAGCGCGCCGTCGAACGGGGGCAGCCGAGGCAAGCGGGAGGTGGGCGGCCGAGCTGACAGCAGTGGCGGCGGCTGGAGATTCTGCTCCGGGCAAGGCGGGCGCTCTTCTGGCCGGGCGGGTGGGCTCGTTGCGAACAAACAAGGAGGAACAAGTTAACCGAAGGCTGACAAGCAGAGCCCACGTGACGGCAGTTAACAGATCCGAAACGGTCCTCCATGGTCTCCCTCTCCGTCTCTACTAGTACCAAACACACTATTCTCTCGTCTCAATCAAATAAACACATGATCATCTCAACCAAAATATTGGAATAAATGCCCTCGGTTTAGAATAGAGTAAAGTGCACCACAAATCCTTAAACTTTTAGTGGCTTCCTATGTGTTCTCTAACTAAAAATGTTACCACCTGAGTCCTAGATCTATCTGTCCCATGCACCAACAGTCCAAAACATGCCACGCGCTCCTCGGGAGCTGACGTGCCGTGGAGACCGGAGGTGGATCCATTGCCCATTTTGTAAATAAACCCCTGCTCCATTTCTCTGTCTCACATCTCACTCCTAAGCCCGTCGTCTCTCTCCCTAGACCCCACTCTCCTTTGCTCAAGCGCCGAGTCGCCGTCCGCCATCGATCCTGTCCTAGGAAGCAGTGGATTAGCGTGGCGAGCATGAGGTCGACGGTCCACAGCGCGAGCGTCTCCCCGAGGCACCTGTGGCTTTCCTATCCCAAACTGCAGCATTAGCCGGCCCTCGGCCTTGCCGTCCCACAACTGCTCCACCTCCGCCCTGAACTCTATCGGGTCTTCCCACACCGTAGGGTCCCTATGGATGGCTGAAAGGTCCTTATTTGGTTTTGGTAATTAAGTGACAACTTAGGTGGACTAATTGTGTTTAATGTGAGATACACATGAAATTAGTCCACATGTACATGTGTGTGAGCAACATATGCCATGGAGGTGAAAAATGGCTCAGAGATGTTGCAAAGCTCACACATATGATGATGAAGGAGCTTATTGTACATGATACATGACATTGAGTAATGTGATCAAGGTGGAGAAGATCAAGACATGACTTAGCTCGACGGACCGGTTGCAAGTGTGAAGGGCAAGTTGAGTGATAACTTGGCGCCGATGGACCAAAGCAACGGTGAAGAGCAAGTGAAGTCAAGATCGATGAACCAATATGATCACGTGATGATATGGAGTGGATCATATCATTGTTGATCATGTTGGTGCATGTGTTGCATCGACATTGGAGGAGATGGAATGGAATGCGCAAGGCAAAGGTATAACCTAGGGCATTTCATTTCACCAGTCATAGGTGTGTAGAGAAGTTGATGACCGGGTTTAGGATAGATGGTCGTACTATCAAGAGGGGCAAACTTGTTTGCATATCGATCATCTAGTGCCACTCAAGTGATCTAACTTTGCATCGTTGCTAGGATCGAGTGGCATGGCAAGTTGAGTGGCTAATCATTTGAAAAATGATTATGAAAATGCTAACACACATGCACATGGTGATGTACACTTGGTGGTGTTGGCACATTTGCAAAGGAGAAAAAGTTAGAGTTGTTGTGGATCAATTCGGTGAAGAAACAGAGGCAAAAAAGTGTCACTGTGAGTGACCGAACGCAGGACCTGACGCTGGACCTATGCGTCTGGTCATGCTCAGCAGTGAAGGAATGGTCTCGGCCATGTCACCTGACGCTAGCGCGAAGTGGTGATCTGACTCACCGAGGGTGCATCCGGTCAACAGTGACGTAGGGTGACGTAGGCGACGTTGCGCACGCTATGAAGACCTGACGCTGGCGTGCGTCAGGTCAAGCACCCTCGAACGCGTCAGGTCACTATTTTGCCGCTCGGGAAGCTCTCTAGAAATGACCTAACGCTGGGAGACTGAGTTGATTGGCGCGCCCGGTCATCTATTCGCTGCGGGCACAGTTACGTTGACCCGATGTGGGGCTGGCGCATTCGATCTCTAATCAGTGCGTCTGGTCCTTCATCAACACGCTCGAGGAG